CTGCCTCCCTGCCCTGCCTTTATCCGGCTGTTAATTGTTGTTAATTGATGGGGAGCTGGGCCTGGGCCAGGTGGGGCTGATGGCTCCCTGCGGCCCTCAGCTGCCGGCTGCTCTCAGAGCTGGCCCCGGGCTGGAGGGGCTTCCCCGCGTCCTGTGGAAACCTCAGTGCAGGGCTCTGCAACAGGAAAAGATGGAATAGCTTCTGTGTGCGCAGCGCTCCAGGGGAAAAGCCGTTACACAGGGATAAGTGGGCTAATGCCTGCGTAATGAAATAAATTATAAATTTATAATAATAATATTATACAAATAAAAGCTTTTATATATTGGACTAGTAATCCATCTTCCATAATTACAGCACTCTAAGTATGTCATTTCTGAAGTAATACTGTTAAAATCACATAATTAAGTCACGTAGATCATGTATGTGGGTCTCTAGAGATAGTTGAGTCCCCAGATCCCTGGACTTGCTGAACATTAAATATTCTCTCTGGGTGGCTCTTGATGACAGAGAATGATTGACAAACACCTCCTGTTGAGCCTAGGGTAACTGCTGCGTATCAAAACCTATTCAATGTTTTTACAAAACAATTACAAGTAATGAGTTCTAGACAATAGGTATTTTGAAATTCTAAATGAAATACTTAATAGGAATGCATCTAATACAAATACCCACCCTGTCATGAAATAGTTAAAAGCCCACTACAGTGAAAAAAGGCATCTAAGGGCAAATGTTATAATTTGGGAAAGCACTAGAATTGTTAATTGTTGTCAAACTGTTTTTTATCTGCATGTAAAAAATTGCCTGAAATGTTTGTTAAAGTACAGTATTGTTGGAAAATCAAAACACAGTGCTTTCTAAAAGGCAGTGTTTTTTATAAAAGCTATAAAACCATTATAAAGTTCCAAGGGTCAGCAAGGCCAAGCCTAGAGAAGAACCAGTAGAGATGATGTCTTTAAACTTTCCCAACCTACTTGGAAAAAAAAATCTTTCAAGTGCCTGATATAATTCTTGGTCAGAAATAACATTTTAATGGAACCAAAATGATTTAAGATTCAGAAATCACTTGAGGTACATGGTCAAGATTCATCACAGTCAATAGCAAGACCCTCCAGTCTATTTTTCCACGGTTTCTTCTCTCCACACTGTTGACATGAAGGGTGCCCCACTGACAGGTATCTGCTTGGACCTCCTGGGTCCAAGTCCACACCAAGCAGACGTGGCCTCCTCCTTTCATGCCCAGTGAGAACAGTGGCACCCACAGCCATACCAAGGCCCTAGCAGCTGCAGTCAACCCCAGTGCACACGTCAGCAGTGCACGGGCAACATCAGCAGGTCACTCTGTAGGAAATGGCTCCACAGCCCCCAGTGATGTCAGTGAGGGTCTGCAGTGTCACCTCGCCTTTGTCTGGACTTGTCACTCCCAGCATCACTAGAAGATGCACCTACAGGCTACAGCAATCCTGTAGGATGCTGCTGGGGTTTGTTTACTTTGGGGGAGCGCTCCAGAGCAAACCCATCTTGCATGGGCTGCACTGTGCAGTGTTCCACACTTGCCCATATGGTGCATGTCAGGCTGAAAAAAAAAAAAGAATAAGTTATTAGGATGCCTTAGCAATGGGATGGAGAAGAAAATGGAAATGATATGCCATCACACACTTCAGTGGCTTCTGCTTAGCCATACAGCTTCAGCTATGATCATCAATCAAGTGCCATCCCAACATGAGGAAGAACTTATTTACTGTGAGGGTGACCAAGCACTGGCACAGGTTGCCCAGAGAGGTTGTGGAGGTTCCTAATCTGGAGATGTTCAAAACCACTCTGGACACAATCCTGTGCAAAGCGCTCTAGGTGACCTTCCTTGTGCAGGAGGGTTGGACTGAATGATCTCCAGAGACCCCTTCCAACATCAACCATTCTGTGATTCTGTGAAAATGTGACTGGAGGTGTATGAGGAGAATAATAACACTTGCTTTTATAGCAATACTTTTGGAAGGGATGTAAAATCTCACAGTTGAAGGCCTGCCAAAAAAAAAAAAAAAAAAAAAAAACTAAAAAACATTAGTTTGAGACTGTGCAGTCATACACCACCATGGCACTCGTGTGCGCTGTGAGACTTCCAGAGCCTTTCTTTGGGACGTGGATGTTGCCTGCTATGCAACAGGAAGATGGAATATGTGGACCTTGAACATGGTACTAGATTTCTCATCTGTCAAGGGCTGTATGTTTAAGAGGTGACTGACATTTGGATGGGAGAAGAGGGGTTGTGAGATCTCTCCAACACAAAGTACAGGAGACATCTAGTCAAGGCATCTTCCAGGCAGGTGGTGGGACAGGAGTCATTTTCAGAGACCGCAAATTCTATAAAGACATATATATACACTTAAACTGGCTTTTGTTATTTCATAATGAAACTTTTATGGGACTGCTGTTACAGAGATTCTTTCATACAACATCTTATCTACAAAGTCCCTTTTAGGGAAAATTAACAAAAGAAACCGTTCTGTGGAGGCCACTGCCATTGTAGGAACGCGGGCAGCGCCGTTTATCGGCCATAAGCCGTGTGGTGCCATAAGGAAAGAGGCAACTGTGGTTAACCCAGCACTGAGGCGCTACAAGGTGGAGGTGCCACAAGGTGGAGGTGCCACCATGTGTACAAGGCTCGGGTCCTTGCTGGGCGGGCTGTTGTGTCCTGAGAGAAAGCGGCCGCAGCAGGAAAGCATTCAAGGGACTCGCTAGTGCGAGGGGGGCACCGCAGAGCCCGTAACACCGCAAGAGCACCCAAGGCCGCAGCGCTCTCCCCCTCGGGAGGCCTTAACGGGCCCGCGGCGGGCGGAGCCGCGCGGAGGGGGCGGCC